TTTATTATATATTTAAAGACAATACATATTATGTATAGAACATTTATTATATATATAATAAATGTTTGTGTAATTATGGTTGTTATTGTATTCCCTCTAAATAATTTTTGAAATGTGCTTTATAGTTTTTTATTTTCACAAGAAACCATCTCTGTAAGGTGTAGCCTGTGTGTTTTATTTTGAAAGTGTTGGCCGGAAGCCATTTTATCGCTCCGGGTGGTTTGACGCTCTTGTGTAGTTCCCGGGGGTGCGTCACATCAATTTAGTGAGTGAAGTGAACACATTGATATATGTAGTTATATTGACACCTATGAAAGTACAGAGGAACCGTCGGAAACTAAAATAAGGACTCTCTGAAACAACTTATTTATTATTTTTTCTTCTTCGTCGGGATATTAAAGTTCGGTTGTCCAGGTAAGTCACCTTTAAAGTTTATCATTTGTTATTCAGCCGTCAGGCATGATATCTGAAATGGTAACAGTTTGCTACATTTGATACTGAGATGATGAATAAGTTTGGAAACTCTTATTTGAAGTGTAAATGTGCTGTCTGGAGAAGACTTCTTAAAAGGAAACTAACAGGCAAGTCCATGGTCTCGTTGTTCAGGTTAAACCAGATGTGTTCACGAGCTCAGAGTGTTAACAACCTGCTCATTGCCGCTGACAATAGCATGACAGAGATTTTGCTCACATTTATTCATGTACAGTGCCTTAATTTGGAAAAGGTACCTATGACGGTGTTGAGAATGTTTTTAAGATGTTTTTTCTTTGCTTTTCACCCCTGGTGTAGTTGCATATCTCAGGTACATGCTCTTTCTGTCTCACTGTTATTTACATATAATCCCAACTGTTCACCGGAAGTGCACATTTTGAAAATCATTAAGACTGAAAATAAACTCCCAAGAAGTCAACATTTAATATTTGTGTGCATTCTGGTTAAGTTTTATGCACAAATGTGCCTTTTTTCTGCATCAGTTTATGGTGTAGATGACTTCAACTTCTGTCAAAAATAAAAGTCCTCTGCTACTTTAGTGATTTTATTTGTGGAATGCACATGTTGTAAATATTGATGGGCCATGTCCCCTGCATCCCTCCCTATATCTACACCTAAGTTTGTGTGTTGAAAAATAAACAAACTGGCAGAGGATAACTGTAAAATACTGTAAACTCAGAAACTGCAGAACATCTTTTGTCTCATTATGAAGATGGCACTTGTGACTTCTTCTCTGCTTCCATCCTTCCTTCCCAGTCCTAGTATCCCATCACCTCCTCGGTATGGCTGAGCCTGCTGAGCTGCTGCTTATCAAGGACCAGTATGAGATGGCTGGTCACTCTCTGAGCCGTGGTTTGGCTGCTGAAGAGGCCGGGCTAAGAGCAGAGGCCCTGGTGTATTACAGGAAAGGTCGACAGCACCTTGCCCAAGGACTGGAAGTGCCCACTGGGGGGGCAAGGCAGCAGGGAGCAGTCTGGGACACAGCCAGGCAGCTTCAGCAAAGAATGAGGGACACTCTGAAGACTGTCAACACCCACCTCTCTGACCTGGAGACCTCTCTGATGACAACACAAACCCAGAGGAGCCGCCTATTGCAGGAGCTACCTCTTAATCTTTACCCAGACCTGGCACCAAGCAGCCAGCCTCCCCAAAGCTCCCTCCACCATCTGTACCCCACCGTGCCTGCTACCACCACCCAGAACACAACCCCAACACTCCTTCCCAGGCCTCCTTTCCCTGCTGATCCACACAAGCACACAGTCCCTGCAGAGGCCCCAGGAGCTGTAGCCATGGCCAACCCGAGGGACCAGCCTCCAGCATACACACCACAGCCAACTCTCGGCCACCGCAGTCTGTCTTACGGTCCTGTCGGAGGCGGCCTCATGTCAGGAGGGCAGACTGGAGCAGCAGCAGGAACAGATGGGAATGAGCTGCTTTTCATCCCCTCTGGGGTGCAGATGTTTTTTGTGGCGCCAAATGGGCAGGTCAGCTCCCTGTCTAATCCAGGCTACCTGCGCATCATCGCATTTGAAAGTCAGCAGAAGGATGCCACTGCTGGACGACCCTCAGCATATCTACATGTGAGTATACACACAGTATGTTATCTGAAGGCATGTGGGCATGTCTGCAAAGCATTTTCCTTGGGCGTGTGTCTTCCAGGTGAGTGTGTGTGAGCAGCAAATCACGTCACTGACTTCACTGAGTCATTATATTGGTATATAGTGTTTGAGTATGAGTCAAAAAGAAATGTTAAGCTTACAAATAATATATTTTTGTCTGGGTGGTGCCCACTTTGAGTTTGGCAGCACATGCACATGATACTGAAACAAGTCAAAACCGAGCTTTAAAAGTTGACTCGGATATGGCATTTATTCCTATGTCAGTGCTTTAAAGGGATGATCCTGACCTGTACTTGTGCATACTGAAATTTGTTGTTAATTGGTTAAAGGCTGTTCTATCATTGTATTTATATTTATGTTTAAGCAGTATTACTCTCCACCTTGGCTACTGCATATTCAAAGACATTGCTTAATCCCATCGATAAATATCACTGCTCTGTCCATATATGTGTCCTTGTCATGTGGAGCCGTCTGACAGCCTGCTACATTTGTGTGAGGATTTTTATACTGAGTCAATATAGCACATAAAAAGTGCCAGTAATGTATTCTGGCACCTCTACAAAGCGTGTATTATGCCCTGCTGTGTACTGCAGTGCAACCCATGACTCTGTTTCGTGGGCTGCTCTCCCGTATTCTGGCCCTGCTTTGTTTTCCCAACAAGACAATGGTCCCATTAACAGATGAGTCTGCGCTTCTGTTGTGCTGCTGGTCAGTGTCCTGCGCCCTCACTGGGGTCACTCTGTCAGGCGGCATACCAGTGTCACGATGCAGCAGCAAGTCTGTATCTGTATTATGTCTGTGTGGATGACTGACACCAGTCCTGATGGGAATAAAAGCCTGTGATGTGTCTTTGAGAGGGGGAAATGGGTCAAAGGGAATAGGGGACAATGCTTGCTGGGAAATGACAATGCATTTTTGTGCACCTTTGGGGTCACAAGAAACCACCCTATACATGTAAGGTTCAATTGGGAAAAAGCATTGGACATGGGATGATTTTCAGTTCACATTTTATGAGCTGGAGAAACAAGTAAGCACTCAAAACAGAAGACTTCTTGTCCTGCTTTTCTGTCCATGGTACAGGGGTGACAACCTTCATCATTTCCCCAAATCCTTATTTCTGTGTGTCTGTGTTTTCAAGGTGTGTGACTGGTTGTACCCGCTGACCCCAGACACTCCGGTGCTTTTGGCCAACTCTGGCATCTTCATGTTCCCTGACATGTTGTCAGAGACGCCAGGGTGCTACGTGGGCATAGTGTTGTCCTCCGAACTGCCTGCTGTCCAACGAGAGACTTTTCAGGACCTTATCTCGCAGCTCGCTGAACTCCGGATCCAGGTCAGTCTATTCTGCCTGTATGGAGCAAATGCAAGGATGGGTGTGCACGCTTTGAAACAATACATAGGAGGGTGTTGAAAGTAAACAGTAGTTACTCATGACTACACCTTTTCGTAGCATCCAGTGTCTCATAGCATCACTTTATTCTTGACGCCACAGGAGGAACCAAATAGTTGTCATGCTGTGGGTAAAACATTCTTTCCCAGTTGAGTCATGACTTAGAGGAATGCACGTTACCTGTTTGGGTGTACGCACGTTTTAAAAGCCTCTTGCTGTGTCTCCTGTTGTGATAACTCTTAAGCAGTATGACTTAATGGATTCCCTGACAGGGTCCAGAGGGGGCAGGGGTAGAAGTCATTAACCTGAGTGAGAAAATCCCCCTTGGTCCCATGAAAGAGCATGAAGAGCTGACAGTACCAACAGGGGACAAAGACAAACCACCACTTCCTGGATGGAGTGAGAAGATGGCACAAGGAATCTTGTCAGGTGAGGTCATGTGGGCCCTGATAAAGGAAAACAAAATCAAAACAGAATACGGTATTATAAACAGGTGGTACATACAGTGGATATTTACAAAAACTACAACTAGAGGGCACCGTTTACCTATGTAGCAATCTCCCCTGAACAGGACTGAGTACTGTAAGAAAAACTTTGTCCAGCTACCTCTTCATCTGACTGCAGAAGGTATTTTAACAACACAACAATCACTGATATTTCTAATTTACATTTAACACCCAAAATATGTCTGTCTGTAGGAGCTACACGGTTGAGCGTAGGGTTTGTAAAAGGAGCTGAGGCCACTGGTAGGGCCATTCATAGGGGAGCAGCCAAGATCCGGGACCACATCACACCCGAGGAAACTCCTTCAGAGGTCAGCCCCCGTGTCACCAAAGGTCTGCATGTGGCTAAACAGGCCACCGGGGGTGCTGTGCGAGTCAGCCAGTTCTTGGGTAAGGACTTAAACCAGTAGAGGAAAGACTATGTTGGCCACAACTGTCTTTATCTTGCCATTGGTCGTATGTACTGTAATATAATATAGCTATGTACCAATATGTATTACAGTTAATGGTGTGAGTACAGTGGCAGAAAAAGTCGCAGATAAGATGGCTCCCCATGTGAAGAAACAGGGTGCTAAGCTGGTCCCGGAGTCTATGAAGAAGAACAAAGATGGCAGCCCTTCCAACTGGGATGGAACCAAGTTTGTGGCAGCCAAAAGTGTAGAAGGTATGCACCAATATAATGGAAATGTTGTCATATCAGTAGCCCTATAAAAATCAAAATATTCAGTCAAAATATTTATTTCTTGTTTTGGCATTTTGGATATTTCTTTTAGGATGGGAGGTCCAAGTCTTTCTAGAGTACTCAGACATTTTTTATTTACATCCAAACCAGGTTTCTCTACAGTTTGGTCTAGTCTAGAGACTGGAGCAAAGCTGGTTGGCAAAAGTGTTATCGCAGAGACTGTCACAACTGTGACATACAAGTAAGTTCGGTCATTTCCCATTTCTGCGTCTGTATTTAACTAACTGAAATGTTCTCATTATTCAACTATTGTAAATCTTGTTTCCAGCCTGTTACTAAGTCCCTCTGGTTGCTTTAAACAACAGTAGGATGCTGGACGATCAGAAACCAGCCCTCTGTGTTGCTTTCTTCTTGGTACGTTGGGAAACTGATCTGCTTTCTTTCACACCTGTTTCTTTTCAGATTTAAGGGCTTAGAGAGTCTATTAAAAATGTCTGGCAACATATGACTGCACGGGGGAGTAAAGGCAAAGACTTGTGAACTAACGGCTGATCAACTCTGTGTCATTAACCCAGATCAAGTCAGAAAATAACCCCCAATAAGACAATTTCCAAATCTAACTCAACAGTTAACATACAGAACTGTCCTTTTGTTTCATCAGACTGACTTTCTTTGATTGAATTATGTATTCAGACATACAAAGAATGTTTTTTGGGTTCTTTTTTGACTTGATGTAGTTTAAAATCCTGTTTGTGTGTCTTTCTGGGTCTGCTAACTGCAGCTAAATGTCTGCTTGTGTTGGGTGGTGCTGCTTTTGCTGTTCATACCTTCTGTAGTCTCTTTTTCCCTGGTTTGATACTAATAAAATCTCTACAAAGTGAAACATGACTGCTGTTCTTGACCTTTGTTGTGTTGATGTGAGTGAAAACAATACCAATATCACATTGCTCTAGCACCCTCATTTATTATTATTTTGTAACACCAAACCACTCTTCCCCAACTTCACCATATTATTCGTGGTGAAGGTATGGTAACGACGCAGGCGACGCCACAAACACTGCCCTCAAGTCAGTGATCAATGTTGGTGTGACTGCGTACAACATTGACAATCTGGGCCTCAAAGCCATCCTGAAGACTGCGGGGAAGAAGACAGCCAAGGCCATGGTCAAAAGCCCGGAGGGACAGCAGGAGAAGACTGAGGGGAAGGAGGCGCAGAAACGAGAACTTGAAGCAGAGACAGATGGGAAGAAAAAGCAGAAGAAGAAGGAGGAGGAGCAGAAAAAATAGATCCCCGCAGGACTTAATGCTGTGCTTGAATGATGCATCAGCTCCTCATTTACATTTTATACAACTAAATAAGGCACTCATCTCTGAAGTGGCTATTTAGTTGTGAATGTAAAAACAAGGGGGCAAAATACTGGAATTAGCCTAGGTCAAAGTGCAGTTTTATTTCACATTATTAAACTACTAAGTTATTTATCTGGCTAGGTTAAGATTGGCTGCATTGTTAAGTTTTACATTAATTAATTTGTGGTAACATTTTAGGTTTTCTTTATGTATTTTTTGGTAGCCTACTTATTTTTTGTGTTTTTTTTTTATATGTATATATAGACTTATATATTGGATAACTGTATGTATGATCTGTATGAAAGTAATAATAATGTAACACACAGATGTATATAAAAAAAAATATAAATTGCACATTTTAACCATGGTTACCAGAGATTAATTTTTATATGGGATGTTTATTGAAAGGTGTTCTTATAGAGGGCCAGAACAAACAAATAACATCTCTCTCTCTCTCTCTCTCTCTCTCTCTCTCACACACACACACACACACACACATATGCATTGTTTTTCCAATTATAATAAGATCCTCTGCGAGATAAATCAAGTGGCATTCATTGGCCATTAATGTTAACTGGTGAATTAAGAGCTCAGTGTACAGAGGAAGTCAATTTTCAGGGCTAATTAAGCGCGAAATGAGCTTCGTAAAAATAGCTGCTTGCAAAAATAATCCACTCTACGTGACCACTATGCAATTCACGAGTTATTTAATCGAGTTTTGTCACGTTTAAACGAGGAGGAGGTTTTGTTTTGTTTTCAAACCTTCCCGCTGATCTGCGCCATTATGTCCGAGGCTGCCTGAAGGAGCCGGAAACAGCGGTCTCCATGGAAACCCCGAGGCACAAACTTTTCTTCAGTTGATGTGAGTTTTGCAGAAACATGAGTGGAGACAGCGACTACAGCAAATATGATTTGGCACGGCTGCAGGCAGAACTTGAGCAGGAGAGAGAAATGAGGTAAGTCTGACATAAATGTATCACTCAGTGTTATGAAGGAGATGAAATGTTATTTTCCACTGCAAAAAAATACTCGTATTGGCTCATGATTTTAGAGAAATGCTTGAGGAGTCGGTGTCTGATCTGCGGAGCACCATGTGTGAGCTGCAGGAAAGGTTACACAGTGTTGATGGGGAAGGTGAGTAACATTTATTTATCTATTTAAAGAATATAGTTATCCTATATGTCTGTCAAGATGCTGCCCAACAATCCACTGGTTTCCATCAGCCCAGTCACACCTCAGTGTTGTCTGTAATGTGTCCTGTCCCAGATGTGACTGTAGTTTAACAGTTTCCTTTTTTAAAATTCTGTGCCAGGAAATGAGTGGAAGACAAGGTATGAGACACAGATTGAGCTGAATGGACAGTTGAACAGACAGATGTCACTCATTCATGAGAGACTGGAGGACCTACGAGGAAACCCCATGGGTAAGTTCAACAGCTATTCAATTCCATTTTATTTATAATAACAATTTTCCTCAGAGGGCTTTACAGCAACCAACATCCCTCTGTCCTCGGACCCTCACGGTGGATAAGAAAAAACTCCCCCAAAAGAAAACCTTTATAATAGGGGGGAAAAATGGTAGAAACCTCAGGAGGAGCAACAGAGGAGGGATCCCTCTTCCAGGATGGGACAGACGTGCAACATATGTTGTGTGTACAGAACAGATCAGCATATTAAATGTACAGTAATCCATATTACAGAAATTGTGCCAGCTTTTAAATAGGTTCATGCTGGAAGTAGGCTGCATTTGCCATCAGAATCTAAGACTTTAAGTTAAATACCCCAGACTAGGACAGTATGGTTTACTCTCTTCACACCAAGAATAGTATTCTCACAATTAGGGCTGCCCAATGTGCAAAAAAAAAGAAATTGCAATTCCGATATACGTCACAATTTTAGTGTGAATGGTCTTTTTTGCATTTCATTTTCACTTAAAAAAACAAAAAAAAAAAAAAAAACACAAAAATGATGACGATCTCATTTTTGTTGGGTTCAGTAACAAACATGCATGTTCCCTTACATCAGGAATGTGATTTGTAGGCCGGGACATGTTGTCTGTGGCACCACAATGCTTCATTTTTTCCCCAGCAATATCTTTAAACACCCAAGAAGAACTGGGAGGCACCTGTGTTCTCATCCGGAAGAATATCGAAAACACGCAGATTTTTGTCACTCAACAAAATGAAGTCTTCCCTCACGTGTCATACATTTAAAAAAAATGTAATAAACCAATAAAATAAAAGGTTTCTCTGTTTTCCAAAGAGGGTTCCCATATTGTTATATTCATGTCATGCTTTCATTGTTTGTACCTAATAGGAGTTCAAATAATTTAAGACAGAGATTTAAGACAGCAGTATCTGTCTTGGATGCAAGCTGTTTGCAAGATGTAAACCTAGAATGAAAAACATTGGGTCCAGTGTTGACTCTGTGCCCCATATATTCTCCAGAGCTTTGGGAAAAAAGGTTCCTCTCTCCTGTCCACATCTAACACACAAGTCAGAGATAGCAGTATTATTGTTGTTGAATTTTTCTGGTGTCACATACGTCCTCATCAACCACTTCTGTTGCAGCAATCTGAGCTGAGTATCAACAGTCTGTGTGTGTGCTTCAGCACATGCTGCTTCCCAGTCCTCTGAAGGGAAATCCTCTTTTAGGTCTTTTCTCCAGACATTCAATTTTAATACAGAGGACTCAGAGGACCCTTCACCTAAAAGCTTATATAGTTTGGAGATAACACCCTTTTCAAAACAATCATTTCGCATTTTGGTTTCAAAAATAGATAGCAGGGACATAGACAAACACTGATCTTTAGAAGATCTAATAAAGTTTTTCACCTTTCACTCTTCACATGGCATTAAGGTCCCCTTATCTAACACTAACAAATCCCCTTTCTCAGACTCTTCAAGTCAATCTTTACTTTTGACAGTGTATATAAATGTAAAAAATGTACTTTTTACAACATTCATACATAATGAAAATGCTCTCTTGTTTTTCCCAGATCGATTGGCCTCCATCCGAACTTATGATGACATGCCGGTAGTGAGTGCAACATTTTAACTTTTCTTCTTAACTTTATCCTCATTTGTTTTCTTGTTTTGTTGTTATTTAGTAAGTATTTTTCCCCAAGTGCTGATTAACAAATAGAAGACGCAGAGAGCTGGAGGTCTGTTCAAGAGAAAGGCACAAACCAGCAGAGAGAGCCTGAGACACAGACTGAGGGGAGCAGGCAGGCAGGACAGAGAGGATTGTAACGCCAGCTGCTCTCCATCCTCCCGCTGATGCAGGCTGAATCAACCAGAGTTTAATCACAGCACTGTAATCACGGGATTACAAACCATGGGAGAGCAATACACACTAATTACAATGCTTTAATACACACGACTGCACAACACACACTGAAAGGTTGGACAATGCAGTCTAAATATGTGTGTGTGTCTGTGCGCCTTAAGGCAGAACTAACAGATGCTCATTAGTGTGTCCGACGAGTGACTGTAAGACTACGCACTCGTAGATCTGTAGGCAAACTGTGAGCGTGACAGTAAGATAGACTGAGTGTGTGAGAGGAATATGGAGTATTTTTAATTAGTGCAGTGAGTAAATTTTTGGATGACACTGTTCTGTGAAAGCAAGGAGTACAAGAGCATGACACCGTGCTACAAAGAAAGAAGTTTGAACATTTTTCTGATATATTCTGTGGCATCCGTCTTAGTATGGCTCCTGACTACTGTGGCTTTATGTCTGAAACATAATTTATTTCTGTCAGATATCACAGCTGATACTTTTAATGACATGCACTTTGAATTAGTGTCCTCTGCTGTGAGGAAATGTCTGTGCTATGAAGATGCTTCACAGTCAGTGATTAGGATGATGAAAATTGACATCATACAGGATGTAAAAAACAGAATTAATGCATTTGCCCACATTCAGTGCACATGTTCACAATGTGGTTGTATGTAATGGCGTTAAGTACTCAAGTACAGAACTAAAATATAAATTAAGGTCACTGCATGCTACTTTACACATCTACTCCACTGCATCTCAAAGAGAAATATTGTATTTATTACTCCATTACTTATGTATGACAGCTACAGTTACTTCTCAGATTATAATTTTTAATACCCTTCCTGTCCAGTGAAAACCATGTTTGTTTGGAATTGAGGGTCAGTGTGTAGGATTTAGGGGGATGTATTGGCAGAAATGGAATCTAATAAGCATGTTGTCTTCAGTGAATAATCACCTGAAAACAACAATCGCCATGATTTTGTTACGTTAGAATGAGCCATTTATATCAACATAGGGAGCAGGTCTTCATCCAGGATGTCTGCCATGTTGCATTGCCATGTTTCTACATCAGCCCAGAATGGAGAAACCAAACACAAGCTCTAGATTCATTTGTGTTTTTGCATCTGCCACCGTCGCTCCACAAAAGGACCAACAGCTTAGGAAAAACATTGATTATCTGCATGAAATGCTTTAAATCACTGGGTCCATTTGCTTTGGAGAGGAAGAGACCTTTGTGGATGATTTTGCTCCCAGTTAAAATCTCCTGAACGTCTGGATCTTAAATTATCAGAGAAAAAAGGTGAGCACACATTAGCAGTTGCTGGACTAGCAGCCTGTCTACGACGAGCCAAACGGCATTGCAGAAACACTGATTTGTAACATGAAACTGCTTTATTCAGTGTTTTTGCCAGTTTAAATCAGCGGGTTCATTTGTTAGGGAGAGGAAGAGACCTTTGCTGATAATTCAGCTCCAGGTAAAAACCTCCTGAACAATGAACACTGAAGGAATCCTAACTGGGAGTTCACGCTTGGCACATGGGAGAAGTTTCAGCTAATTGCAATCTGTATTCCTCACTGCTAGATGCCAATAAATCCTACACTCTGCTCCTTTAAGTGTTCCATTATATGTTGAGAAAATTCTCCTACTTCTTAAGCTAAATAATCTCTTTAACAACCCACTTCGATCAACTGGAAAATGCATCATCATACAGTAAAGCTGGAAATGTTTTTCTGACACCATGAAAACTTGACTATTTAGGGACACATGGTTCTCACAGGACAGCAACGATACAAACATATGATAATGTTATTCAAATAAACACAAGAAGTTTGTGCTCTAGAGAAAGGATCAGCACTCAGTGAATAACCTCCTACTGTAAGCCCTATGATAAGCTATTATGGCAAGGCTTAACTATACAGACCAGTGAGCAGTGATAACTAACATGTCTTTGGGGTCATCGGGTGGGAACCTCCTTTCACCAGTGTTTCGTCTAGTTGGTCCCACAACACCTCTAGGAGGCTAGACAGCGATCTCTGGTGTCCCAGAGACACTCCCCTAATGCCAGGTCTCACTGCTCCCCACACCAACCCAATAACGTCCTTTACCTTACATTACGCATGGCTTTCTCAGCCCAAACAGCACTGCCACCTTCAACCAAACCCAGGCTCCATACATGTGAGCTCCAGGTAGCGACAGTGCAGATACTACCTTTCCTAGCACATTCACCATACTCTAGTTCATACATACGTTACATAGCATAACTACAATATAAGCTAAAACTAAAGGAGATAAATAAACTCACAGGATCAGCAAACACACTCACCTTGCAGCATGGTCTCAAACAAAAGGGATTCAAATAGGCCACTCCCACACTTAAATAACCTTCCTCTTCCTGGATTTCCTCCTGAGAGGACTGATTGGTGGATCTCTCCACCCAATCTCAAGGAGTTATGTACCCTGCTTAGTAGGCCCCCCTGCTGGCCCCCAACTGACATTATTCCTCCTCATCCAAATCCACTGACTAGCTCTGGCTGCTTCATCTGACATTTCCTTCACTGTCTTCCTCAAACTCTGTCCCCGCACGCTTTTTTCTTTCATAGGCTTCTTCCATTGAGTCTTCCCAAGGAACTGTCAGCTCAATGAAATAAACTATCCGTTGACTCACTGACCACAACACTATGTCAGGCCTCTGCTTGGTACAAACTATTTCCTGGGGAACAACAAGCTTTCCCCATAAATCTACTTGCATTTCCCAATCACAAGCACCTTCTAGGCGGCCACACCCTTGCCTCCTTACTGACTTATCCTTTCTGTATTTCTCTCCCTCACAGACAAACTGAGTTACTAAACTCCTATCCTTAACACCTTCTGAATTCACCTGTCTTCGTTTCCCTTCGATGCCTGCAGCTAAACATTTCAACACCTGGTTATGTTGCCATGTATATCGGCCTTGTGACAAGCTAACTTTACAGCCTGACAAAATATGCTTTAAGGTTGCGGTACCTGAACACAATGGGCACATTGTTTTACCCACAGTTTTAGGTTCTGGGGGGTTGGTAACACATCGTATGTAGCCCCTACCAGGAATCTAATACGATTCTCCTCCATACTCCACAGGTCCCTCCAACTAAGCTTCCTCTTCTCTACACTTTCCCAATTCAACCACTGTCCCTGTTTAGCCTGGGCCACTACCTTTGCACTCCTTAATATCTCCTCCTGTCTACGTATCTGTTCCACAACCAGCTTTCTTTTATCTTTGAGACCTGCTTTATTCCATACCGGTTTGCCTGTGCCAAGCCCCAGGCCTCCCCGGCCAAACTGAACATTACCTACAATCTCTGCATGCCTAAGAGCTGCCTCTGCCTCCTGAACTGCCGATCTTGGGTTCCACTTCCTCCCCTTGGTTGGATTTGGAACCACACTCCTAACTACCACGTCCTTACTGCCAGATAACAAGAGCTCTGTCCTGACCTTGGTACATTTAAATTCCTCTGTTAAACTAGATACTGGCAGCTGAAGTATCCCTTTCCCATACAATGCAACACTACTTAGGCACCTAGGAGCGCCCAACCACTTCCTAATATAGGAGCTAACCGACCTTCCAACTCTCTCCACAACGGATATTGCAATTTCATAAATTGACAGTGGCCACATTAACCTAGGATATAGCCCAAATTGCAGACACCACGACTTCAGCTTTCCTGGAAGTTCTGATTTATCTATTCTATCCAATCCTTCTGCCACATCTTTTCTAAATTTCCCCACCTGTTCCTCATCATTCAACTCCACATTGTACCACCTACCTAAGCTCTTTACTGACTTTTCCCTAATTGCTGGGATTTCCTCATCATCTATGACAAACTTCCTATCGCTTAACTTCCATCTACGTATCGAGATGCTTCTAGATTTACTAGGCCTGATCTTCATGCTTTCATGCTTGAGCTTCTTATATACCTTTTCTTGTAGCCTCTTTGTACATGGCATTGTTGTGGTCACCAGTGTCATGTCATCCATGTAAGCCCTAACTGCTGGAAGATGCAACCCGTTCTGCCATCTCTCCCCACCTACCACCCAGTTAGAAGCCCTGATGATTACTTCCATCGCCATAGTAAATGCTAATGGAGAAATTATACACCCTGCCATGATGCCTATTTCTAGCCTCTGCCAACCTGTTGTGAAACCTGCCGTACTTAGACACAACCTAATATCCTGAAAATATGCTTTCACTATATAGAATATGACACACTGCTGTATATTAAATAACCCAACGGTGTATGTAAAAGAGGGAAAAGTAGCTCAGCTGTAAATATCCACAGCAGTAAAATTCAACATACACCTTAAAGGTCCAGTGTGTAGGATTTAGTGGCATCTAGTGGTGAGGTTGCAGAACTGAAACTTCTCCTATGTGCCAAGCGTGTAGTAGAGCTACTGTGTCCGATGTGAAATAATCTAAGGTGACAACAAAAATAAAACAAAGATTCTTATTTTCAGGTGATTATTATCTAATGAAAACATAGTTATAAATACACCGATAGATGCCCCTAATTCCTACACACTTGACATTTAATACACCAGTAATATTAATGCAGAAACCCATGTATTGTATATGAAATCAAACACAGAGACTATTTTACTGCACAATGAGAACTTTTACTTTTGATACTTTTAAATTTTGCAGACATTACTTGCAAACATTTACCTAAGTGAGGTTTTGAATGCAGCACTTTTACTTGTAGCGAAGTATTTTCACAGTGTGGTATTGCTACTTTTACGTAAGAAATCTAAATACTTCATCCACCACTGACTGCAACATTTAACTATTACTACTCTATTCATCATTTGGCTGATCCACAGACACCGGCCTGGTGTGATGCATGTATAATGCCGCGTCTTTAAACACACTGCTTACGATGGTGTTCATTCAAGCTGACTACAGCTGCTTATTTTGGCGGCACATGAACTAGAAATCTCAAAACCCGGATATATTCCAAGGCTCATTGCTCTGCTCTGTGCTAGAAATCTCATGTAGCCGTACCATATCTAAGCTCTAATGTGCTTATTTAGTTATTGAATAATGCATGAACATAATCCATTTTCCTGCTCATGTTTTCTGCATGAATTATTCTGTTATTGTTTGATCCTAGTAGATAGCACTGTGTAATTCTGGTACAAATTGATTTGTAATTAGACATCAGCAGTTTAACACCTTTTCGAAGCCTCTTTGTTATGAATGTCGTTAATTAATGGAAAAACTTTGCCGCAGGAAACACTGAGACAGCGTCTGAAGCTCCTGACTGAGGAGAAGTCCGACCTCCAGAGTCAGCTGATGGACTGTCATAACAGAATCGAACAGGAGGGAAAGGTGTGGACCTCAGCTGTGCCACAGCGCAGTTAGAGGGATTTATGTTCAGTATTGTTAAAGGATAACTTCGGTATTTTTCAACCTGGGCCCTATTTCCCCATGTGTATGTGTGCGTATGATTCATAGGTACAACTCCTTTTAAAAATGGTTTAGTATTGAGGGAGGCGGAGGCGGATGCAGCCAGCAGCTGCGAAACGAGCTAAAACGGTAACGGGGGCAAATGCGTCCTGTATAAGTCTGCGCATTAAAAGTGCTTTTTTTCACCACTGATCGGTTCAGATCGCCATTGCTATCTCTGTAAATAGCATACTAAGCGTTTCCCTTAGGGCTGGGCTGTGTGACGTCATCTCGCGAGAGCTTTGCTTGTTGCCGGAAGAAAACCAGAAAAAAAAGAAAAGAAAGTCCAGAGGTAAGGGAAACGCTTAGTATGCTATTTACAGAGATAGCACTGGCGATCAGAACCGGTCAGTGGCGAAAAAAAGCACTTTTAATGCGCAGAATTATACGGGACACATTTGCCCCCATTACCGTTTTAGCTTGTTTCGCGGCTCCTGGTTGCATCCGCCCCCCTCAATACTGAAACAATTTTAGAACGAGTTGTACCTATGAATCATACGCACACATACACATGGGGAAATAGGGCCCAGGTTAAAAAATAGCTAAGTTATCCTTTAAGGGGCACAGTGTCTGCTGATCCAGTTTTATTATTTCTCAAACAAGCAGCTTTAAATCTTTCCAGGTAATAAATATTTCAGAAACAAATTACCGTCATTAGCAGAGGATTGAAAAAGATTTGTCCGATATTTTTGTTTTCCATTCTTTCTTTTTAACCACCATCGATGCAAAATTGAACCCCAACCTTTGTCCCCGTGCTGCTACAACTGGGCTGATATGCTCTTAGTTTGGCGACTTGGTTCTTTGTTTATTGTTCTGCTCAACAAACAGCGAGATATTAGTTGAATAAAGGTTTAACACGCAGCTTGTGCAGCCAGTAATCCATGCTCTAATCTGCTGCTCATTAACACTGAAGAACTCCTGAAATACACTCTAATACAGACAGGCAGCAAACACATAACAAGCTCTGCACCCATGAGCAGACAGATGATTACTGACAGTTAGAACAAGTCCAAGAATGAAAAAATGTGGCAATGTGGCCCTCTGTTTCTCTCAATCATCAGGCATTTCATAAAACCAATGACGAGAGGCGAGCGTACCTTTCAGAAATTGCGAAGGTAAGCATTCTCTTTCATCCATATCAAAAGTATGCTCATAACTAATCAAGCAAGTAGCTCTCAAACCAAACCTATTGACTACTAATTAAATACATGCCACAACAGCCGTCATGGTTAAATGCTACAAAAGATGAATACTGTGTCGAGAGCAAACTCCAGCTTTTCTCTTTCAGGCCTAGTTATGATTTCTCATTCATTCTCCAGTGCACCTCTCTCTTGTTACATAATAGTTTAGTCTCTGTTCAACTGCAAAAGTAAGTCAAGGACTTTGTGCCTTATGCTGCAACAAAACTGGTTCCTGCAGGGCTGAAACCAATGCAGCTGCACAGAAACTACATCTCTCTCTCAACATTTTAGCAACGAATCACTACATTTAAAGGGACAGCATGTGACTGGCTCATGCCTGGCGTGAACACAAATGCACACAGACGTGCATACAGCTAAACATAATGTATACGTGTGTGCAGCGCACTAACTGTCATGTGTTTGCCACTGCTGCAGCTATCCTCCACATTTGAAGCCCAAAGAAGACAGTACTTCACCCAGCCAGAGAGGGCGCCAGAGAGCAAACAGAGGAGGTCAGTGACACACAACACATACATGTAGGTGATGGACACAGTCAGACTAACTGTGGACAATATGAATGCTACAATATGTTGTATTTTAGTCTAAGTAGAGGCCTAATTTTCAAATGCAGTCCACAGGCAGATCACAATTAAAGACAAGCACAAAATTACATCACTTATACAATATAAACAGGAAACTAAAATGACCAAATTAAAAACAGCATCGGCACATATAACGCAAACATCACCTAAAAAGTCAGTAAGTACAGGGCAGAGTAATTGCCTTTAAACATTTTTTAAATTCGGCTTTTAAAAATCTAGTTGATGATGCTGACTGTCTGAATGCAGAACAACGAAAGGGAACAGTGGTTGTTGAAGATATTATAGGATGCCCTCGGAATGAACAGGCACTACAGAGGAGAAACCAACATATTCAACACATTAGGCACAGTACACACTAAAATCAGTTTATAGACCTGCTTGACTCTTTAACTGTGTTTAAAACATCACACACTGTGAGTAAATATCATCTTTGATTAAATAAACCTTTTGCTAAGTCCCGTACCCGGACGTAGACTGACCAATCATAACGTAGCATCAGGCCAGCTCAGACCAGGGTTTGACAACAACCCAGCTGTGCTCCATTGACTCTAATGCAATCATTTCAGATTTCCTTCATTTTCAGGCTGGTTTTGTGGATTTGGAGCTAAATGTTGTGCCTGGGGCACGTCGTGTATTAATGATACTCATTACCTGGAGAGGCTGGAAAAAGATACATGTTTCTTCCCTGTTCCAAAACCAAAATCAAACCCTGAAAAATGTAGGGTTAGCTAGCTAGCTACTGAAGATATAACCTACTGAATGTATACACATGCTGCTTTTGCTTTTTAATGATTATAACAGTGAAACAAAGACCGACCTTGCTGTACAGGAACCAGTGAAGGGAAGCAGGGAAACTTTGCTTATATTCAACCAGCTGTGTGTCATCGCAGTGTGCACAGATGAACGGTGTTTGACCTCCCCCGGAGATCCCTGTCCGTCAGGCGGCAGAGGTCCAGGTGCTGGCAGCAGCACGGGGGCAAAGCCAAACACTGTTCATGTGCACACACTGCAATGCCACACAGCTGGTTCAATATCAGCAGAGTTTCCCTTTATATTCTTTGTCTTCTGTGGCGATCAGCAGTGATGTGGTGGTTCACTTTTACACTGTGATGTGTAGCCTATAGTTCGGCTTTAGCTTCTAACTATCTTTGTCTTTTTAACCTGTTGTTGCTGCTGAGTCAGTTTGACATCCTGGATATATCCTTCAAACACAGACTGTAGACCCCTCTGTCTGCTTCTCTCTGGAATCACTGTTTCATTTTTCCAAAAATATGATATTTCTTCAGGGAGTGCAGTTAGTTACAGAGTGGGCTCCATGCTTACTCTGACAGCTTGTTGGACCATCACAAAGGGGCGGGGCTTAGCAAAAGGTCAATTGTAGTAAAGTAATAATGCTGTACAAATTAACTCAGAATTAATAAATGAATAAATTCTGAGATGTATCTTCTTCTACTATTATTGTCGCAAGATTTGATTGAGAAATACAATGCTGAACCTCTTTAATAGAAAATATTGTGTATCTGTGACATGTTTCTGCCTGACTAATTTTATTTTCTGATTGCGTAGAGGGAGGCAGACCAGCAGGAAGGCAGAGGCTGATTCCAAGAAAGGAAAAGAAAGAGAAGAAGATGGAGGAGGAGGAGTGCATGTGAAAGGAGTTGGTGGTGGTGGTGGGGGAGCAACAGCAGAGAGAAGAGAAGAAAAGAAATCCCAAAGGGGAAGCAGGTTACCTACCCTAAAGTACTACCTGAAACACAATCCCTAACCCAGACCTATCGTTATAGCCCTTTAAAAAAAAAAGAGGTTAAATGTCCTCTGGGTATAATTGTGGTAAAAACTGCCATATACTTTTCTTTTCAATGCCAGAATGTACTTTGTTCACATTTCTGAAAGGCAGATTGTGAGGACACAATGCAGTTCCTGTGTAAGTTATCTATGTGCCACAGTCATACAGTGTTACTCATACAGTGATACCCATTTCATAGTATAAAATATTACATTTATAATCAAGTCTGGCATTATTATTTCCTCACAAATTTCTTTTTTTCAACAAAAAGACTAGCTGTGAGAAGTAGTGTTTCAGAGGGAGGAATGTTACAGGCTCTGAGTGCAGTGAGGTCGTCTCCTAATGTGCCAGAAGCCTGCTGAGTCTGACATTTCTAGTGTCACTGCAATTTTTTTATTTTTCAAAAACACCTCCTACGACTCATATTACGTAAGCAACACCACATTCGCCACTCTCTCCGAATGTAGTTCATCCGCAGAGCACGCAGTCACCCCCGTCCCACCCACTGACCGCCTTTACAAATGTAGGTGTAAGAAAACTGGAGCCATATGAGATGCAGTAGTGATGAGAAAATTGCTAGAAGCTGTTTTCACTTGTGTTTGTCGAGGAGTGTGGAGGATGGGTTCAGTTCTTGTCAGCGGGACACTGAATTGGAAAACATTTCATACCAAATACATGCTCTCACAGTCAAAACCAGCATGAATTCATAATTTTGTTTTTTCCCTTGTTCGCTGATTAGTTTGTCAGTGCAATGATGTCCTTTTAATTAGCTCATAGAGTGTGACCAAAAATCAGGTTTTGAGACAAAGAGGTGACTGGAAAAGAACAATTCATAAAGGTGAGTTATGTATCACCTCCCCTGTGACTGTATGTCCAAGGCTGGCTTGTACTGACAAGGAAACTGGACAAAGATCAATAAGCATCAGACCAGATGAACTGTCCTTAAGCACAACACCAACCCAATCCTCACAATACATATTGGTATTGTTACATTTGTAAGTCATTGTGTAGCTGCTATATTAAAACTTCACATGTGTGTACATTTCAGCAACCCTGTGGTCAACATGTGGTTATATTTAAGCACAAAATCACTTGATTATGGTTTTAAAAATCATGTTTTGGCCTAAAACATCCACGTTCTGTAGCTGATCACCCGTGGAAGCGCAGCAATGACTCACTAAAAACACCCACCTTTAGTGGCACACATGCTGCTGGAAATGAAGCGACAGCTCACTAAAAAAACAATCACTGCTGTTGGTTATTGGTCTCACAAAGTGGTCTGCAGCTTAGCAGTTGTTTCACTTAGGTGTCACACCATCCACCACCCCCTCCACTATAAAAAGGTCAGCTTTACGGTAAAGCTTCAATTAATAGCCTGGGCTATTATTTGCTTAAATCACTAAAATCACCAGGCCTATATTTGGGACAGCCATCTATACGGGACAGGCCTTTAATTACTTTCCCACAAAACTGTTGCTCAGCTAAGATCAGGAAATATGATCAAATTCTTTATTTAAACCAGTATTAATATGACTTGTTTAAAAATTAGGCTTCAGATAATATATGAGTTATGAATCATTCATTTGATCTAGCTCCGAGAGACAGCGCATCAGAGAGAGAGTTACAGTACTTGGAGATTACGGCACCTGGCATATCGACACAACACCACTTTATCCTATTAAAACAATACTCAAAACTTGGATTGATTTTTATGAAAAACCCTTTTGAGTCATTTGATCTGAGGACGAACGATGAATAACTTACAGGGTAATCAAGAAATGGACATAATTTGAGGCAGCCAACAACCTGATTTTATACATTTGAAGAACTTCTATAAAAAAATGAGCTGCTTGGCAACTAGACCAGACGTCTCATCTATAAACATTGCATATGCACCAAATGGGGCCCGAAAGAGGTGTACGCCACTTCCCACGCAAAAGTTGTGATGTATACAAACAGACTTGATGGGAGAAACTTTGACCCATGCTTAAGAACATTTTGGAGATGGGAAATTGGCAACCCAGATGGTGAGGTGGACGCCATTTTTGGCTTTTGTCCATATGTACATCTTTAGTATGGATCCTATGCACTGTTTTATATATGAGACCCCAGGCCTCTAATTGAGACAGGTGTTCATTTGTCAGAATGTGTAGCCACACCAGGCTAGTAAAAAGGACTGGGCGTTTAATTTGGACAAGGTTTTAAATTTAAGTTTTTATGGTATATGCATGCAATTGGAACTATGTCGCTTTAGAAATGTTGATATACGGATGAAACGTAAAAATGTAACGTGTCTGTGGCTCACAAAAATGTACAATGCCAACATTTTCTTGTGGTAACTGGGCTGTTGAGACTGAATGCTCAACCACCTGGAAAATGAATGAATTGGAGTATTATATTCTAAATGAGAAATATGGGTTTTGAAAGCATTTGATAGCAAAAATCCTCCCAAGATGTGTGATATTGTACAGCTCACTTCAGTGCTAGACTTAAACAAGTCATCAGATTGTAGTGGAGCTGTATAGAGACACCAACACAGTCCATCATTTTATTTATCTTTCAGTTCATCCAATAAAACAACTCTAAAAAGTATCACCAGATGACATCATCAATCCAAACCCAAACACTTTAATTCCCAGCTCCAGGACACATTTGTTTTTGTTTGCTGTTATTGACTTTACTGTCTAAAATCATCGCAACAGCACAGTGTGAATTCTGTTTTACGGTGTACTTTCCCTTTACAGGTCCACTCGTATCTCTGATATGGTCGGCTGACTCAGTGTACAATCCTAAATGTGCTGCAGTGGCAGGTTGTTTGTCTTAGATTAATGACTTAATTTAACGATAGCCGCTCCATGTTGCCTTATGAAAGAGTGAGCACATTTACAGCACACCACTCTCTACCTCCTTCTCCTCCTGTTCCCCTCTCTGTTTCATGCACAAGCTCATTTTAGCACAACGTACTGCATTGAGCTCATGAATCACACAGACACGGGGTAGCCACGTAGATGTCTTCTGCTGACAGGTGAAACACGATGACAAATCACAACAGTGTCAAAACATCACAAGTGCGTCTGCATATGTAAGAGACTGATGTGAAAGTTTGCGCACGTGCATTCATGTGCATACACATGAGAGTGTCAGAGTGACAGACTTTCACGGCCGTCCCTTTGTTCACACGTCGCTGTCCTGTGTTGTGTGAAACTGTAGTATGAAGATGCAGTGGCTAATGAGAGAATGGAAAGAGTATCTTTTACAGTAGCATCTGTCAACAGTCTGAGTGTGTTTGTTTTTAAATTTCTCTCCTGGGCTGTGAAATTAAGACAGATTTAATTTTTGGAATTATTCCAGATGGGATTCGCCACAATATGAATCAGCAATCCATCTATCCACATCTGAATGAGCTCCAACTTTGTGTTTATCATTCACTTCACAGAAAAGCATTAGCAGAGATGTGCTAAGATGTGCTTTTACCTGTTTTTTTTAAGTGTCTCTGAAACCTGGGGCAGAACCAGAAGTAAACATTAAGGGCTCAGCCCAGACCTTGGGGGCTGGGGTGATTTTTTTTTCATTTACAGAAGCTATATGCACTATTTTTTAAAGTAATTTAAGAAAATAGAATGCCTAAAAATCTGCACATCATTTGGAAAATGCATGATAGTTGCAAAGGAAATAATACCAACCTGTAGAGCCAGCATCCTTTGTTTTATCTAATTGTTTTTTAACTGTTTATAAATCTTTTTAAATGTTGAGGCTGTCTTATTTTAACTCCTGCCACCTACATAACGTAGGTAGCGTAGGAATTTGGTCTAAACAACATTGCTGATCTTGAAACCTATTTTTGTTATGGTATGCCAGAGCATGGTTCACAAAATGAATGTTTAGCTGACAAATTTGGGGCTGTGATGATAACTGCATCACGGCAATACCGCAGTCACCAACCACATCACTGTCATCATTGCATTTTGTCACTTTGTAGCCTCACTCAATGTTCCACCCATAGCACTGAATTGGATCTGATTGGTGAAACGTGACATGTAATAGCCTATCAACACTGAAGGCTAATGTGCCACAGACTGCAAAAACATAGAATGGAGCTCCTGCGGTGAGCAAGTGGACTCACTTAACTTGGTTAACCGCCAAACCATGACGATACGTTACTTATTCACCATGGTAAATACAAAGCCATATCGTCACAGCCCTGGACAAATCTGCACCATTTGAAGGGATACCATAATAATCTGGGCTGCTCAAATTGCGTATCAAGGATCCTCGACAATGCCAAGTACATGTGGTCTTAGATAATCTGAATTAAATATTAGGGCAACAGAATTTTTCTTTAAAGCCCCTACAAGGAACTTTCATTTTGAGTTGATTTTGGCGACCCTGTGGACAAAAGCGGTAGTGTTTTGCCGGAATGAAGCCTACATTTCCCATGAGCTCTAGCGCGTATTGTCGTAAAGACGCTTACCTGGCTCGCGCATGTGTTTGTTTTGGGGATGAATGAAACAACAAGATGGGAAAACTTTGCCCCCGCTCCTATCGGGGATCACAGCTCACCTCTGCCGTGCCCCAGCTCCACCTCCGGCGTAAGCGCCACCGCCGCCGGGGTAAACGCAGCGGTCGGCTGGTAAGCCTGCCTCCCTATGGTCTGATCGGGCTGCTTCCTTCTTTACTCCCATCAGCGCATTGGCTCATGATTACAATATGTGATTACGATATGTGCAAATTTGGATGCATTACTTTTCATAGGAAAACGTACGAACAGTTTATGAGAACAGCCTGGATAAACAGCAAGGGCATCTATTATTATCTAAAGTACAGGAAGTTGAAGGTATTTTAAAACCTAAAAGGTTCGGGGCTTTTAAACTTTTAAACTTTCAGGGCTGGGGCCCCTGAAGTCATCCTCCTGCTCCACCACTGTCTAACACATTTTTCAGAGTCAAATAGTGGCAGTCTACTGAGAGAAAGTCTTGGCACAAAACAAGTAATATCTGTCCTTTTGAATGAGTGACAGCAGATCTTAACACTGTCTGAACCACATTACATGTGCTCACAAAGACCCTTTAATAGCCTTAATCACCAATGTCAACATTCTCCATCTCTTTTTGTACAACGCAATTGAATCTCAGGAAATTGCAGAGTTATCCTACAGGAGCAAAGATGACCTTGCTTGCATGGATGCAATATTCCCAAGTCTACATTATTCTGATTTTATTCTGGCCAGTCACTAGTTAGTCAGGTACAGCGCTGATACAAATGTGGATGCAAATAAACAGTTATATATTGTACACCTGAGTTGGAAAGTTGCAAGCATATATCAAACAGAGTTCCACTTAAGACTGAATCTGGTCCACATGTATTTATTCACAGCAATGCTAAAATTCATCCCATTTTTATGTCTCCCTCTTGTTATTTGAATCCATGTGGACACTGACAAATATCCGATTTGACTTGCAAATTCTCAGGCATTAAGAATGGAAATGAGACCACAGGCCAGCTAAGTCCTTCACTGTGTCCTCCATCTTCCTTGGTCTAAAGACACTTTCTCTCACGTGTGCTCTGTTTCCCCAGGATTCATTTAGACAGGAACACCTTGCCAGCCCTCAGTTTGTGACGCACACTGGGTCTTTGTGTGTGCATCTCCCCAAAATAGAAGTCTGTGTGGAGGAAAATGTTATTTTTTCTTGTTGTCACTGTCTCATATTCTGATACATTCATGTGCATATATACAAACAAGCAGGTCTGCGCACGGGAGCAGTCATAAAAGACGCAGTCACATGCTTTATTTGACCATTAAAATGTCAGATATACTCATGTCAGTTAAGGATTAGCGGGACAGGATGGTATTATGATGTGCGACCTTTTAAATCAAGCATTAAACAAATGTCACAATCATTATATAAATGTAAATAAAGTAAAACATTTCACATAATAAGGCTGTGACATGTTCAACATGTAAAACAATGTCTCATCTGTTAAACCCTCATAAATACAATGATAGCAGGACAGTATTTTAAGAGATTGGGCTTTAACTTACACATCACACACACACACACACACACACACACACACACACACACACACACACACACACACACACACATATAGTTCATCAGGGAGTGGTGATGGAGCGGAATTGGGTGTTCCCTAGAGGCCAGGATGTAGGTCACTGGTCTTTATCTCTTCCATTGCTCGCGGATACTATTTCCTGCCATCACATGCAAACAAACTTCAGAGCTTTTATTGGAAAAACGCTTATGATGATGAGACAGCCGCGTCCTCTCCGGCTCTCATCTCTCTTCCTGCGCGTCACTTTATGGAGTCCTGTGTAACTCAAGGCAGGATGTTGAAATTATTTAGACATGTAATTCCTATGGAGTCTTCATACATGAGATATATAAGTGGGATTGGGGTACAAATCAGACTTGTCACACTGCATTTGGATCAGCATAGTTTGAATCTTATGTAACACTTTATTTAGATAGTCCGCCTACAGATTATAGTAAAATTTCAGCAGCGAGTTGGTTGAGATTCAACAATTCAGTTAATTTTCTTTACTCTGTAGATGTCTGTAGATGAATATCATGAACATACCTTCATATTATCTAATTAATTTTGTTGAATTTAACCTATACAGCATGGGTTGAGTGTATAATTCAGTGTACAACAAAGTTGTTCTGAGAGTATGTGCTGAACTGTCACATAAAGAACATCTACAGACAAAGTGAGACTGTTGAGTAGCGGAATCTCGACCAATAAGATGTTGAAATGTTAATGTATAAACTATCTGTAGGTGGACTATCCAAACAAAGTGATACCAAATCTTATATTTGAGGTTTTAGCTGCCCTGAGACCTGAATGCACCTGCATGAGTGTGTTACATAACATCTCTTGTGCAAATATTCTAATGACTTAATGCCGCTCTGTGCTTCTAATGAGATGTGATTAGCCTTTACACGCCAAAATAAAGCCTGCATTGCTTGTTTCACTTTCACAAACCTGTCCAGTGAGGCGTTTATGTGAGATGAAATGAAAAGTAATAGGCTACCTAGATCAATTAAGGTCTGACTGGTGAGTCTGGGAACTATTATGACCAGATAATGTTCCAGAAATGTAGTTTTTGCCACTAAAAGGTTCACAAATGAAAGAAAAAAAAATTATTTTGCTTTTTGCTCTTCTTAATTGAGCACCAGAGTGATGTGGCTTTTAAGTAAAAGCTCTTAAATTGCCATAACAGAGGGAAGATCGACCCCCCCAGCCGACGCGTGTCTTCAGGGGCTGGGGGTGGTGGTAGTGTGCAGGACCAGCAGCAGCAGCATCCCCAGCACGAGTGGGAAGCGTGGGTTTGCATCTAAATGAGGGGTGGGGAGGGAGGGAGAGGGGGGGCGCTGAATGAAAATCACGACGTGACGTGGAGGAGGAGAGAGGAGGTGGGTGAAAGGAGAGGAATGGGAGGGGAAGCAGCTGCTGCCTAGTTCATTCCCAGTACAGCCTCTGCTTCTCGCTCACCACGCACACACATACACACATACTGGTGTTTAGTGGTGGTGGTGGTGTTGGTGGTGGTGGGGCACTTCAACCGGACAACAAAGGGACGCACAGAGGAGCGCACTGCAGCCGGGATAGGATCACACGGTACCAGCATCCAGTGTCAGCGACCAGCTCTCTGAACTCCTTATTTCATCTGTACTGGGAAATAAACCATCAGTCATACTGGAGGTGACCGTCACAGAGGCGTTAATTGCTCACGTAGGTAAGCAACGTCATATTTGTCAACTGATATGAAGTGAGTAACTCTTTCATATGTGCAGCATTGTCTTAAACAATTCTATTAACCTTTTACGCATTTTGATCTCCAGTCTATAAAGTGAAATATGTATGTTAGTGGCTGTTGATGGGTCGCAGTTGTATGTAAGGCAGCTCCCGGTGGAGGCTGCTGATGGTCCGGTTGTGCGCGGAGCTTGTGAATATTTATAAAGAGGAAAATTAATAGACTATTATTGATTCGTGACTGCGCTCTCCCTCCATCCATCTGCGCCTCAGAGCAACTCAGGCGCACTCTGACAGACAGTCGTCATGAGGCATGTTGTCCGCTGCTCGGCTTAACAGCACTTAATCTGTCATTAGGGAGTTATTTTCAGACAGAGCACCAGCACCGGACACCGGCTGGCTACTTTACCGGCAGTCCAAACCTCTCCTCGGTTTCCTCGCGCCGCTTGTTTTTGTTTACTTGAGAAAACTTTCCACCGCAGCCTTATTGTTATTGTTGTCCCCCTCCTCCTGTTTTTCATCCCCCCAGACAGTACGGCCGTACTTGTGAGCCTCGGCAGCGAGATGGAGATGGAGCATTTCGACGAGCGGGACAAAGGTCAGAGGAACAGCCGGTCCAGTGCGAGGATGAACGGGGTGCTGAGTCCCACGCACAGCGCCCACTGCAGCCTGTACCGGACCCGGACCCTGAAGACTCTGACCGCGGAGAAGAGAGCCAAGAAGGTCCGCTTCTACCGCAACGGAGACCGGTACTTCAACGGGATAGTGTACGCCATCTCCACAGACAGGTTCCGGACCTTTGACGCCCTGCTGGCGGACCTGACCCGCTCCCTGTCCGACAACGTCAACCTGCCGCAGGGCGTCCGGACCATCTACACCCTGGATGGCAGCAAGAAGATAACCACCATCGATCAGCTGGTAGAAGGTGGGTATGGGTAGCCTACACAGCATTACAGCCTGGGGGAAGACATTTGCAGGTTTGTGTCCTCTCATGCACCTGGACCAGGGCCGGTGCTGACTATTTGGAGACCCTGCCCCCCCTTCCCCCCAAGAGAGTAACCTAAAATAGTTGGGGGTGCTTCTTTACTAAAATACCCAGTAGAGATATAGTCATTATCATAATCAAACTTGAGTATACAATCAAAGTATATATTTATCTGCAGAACCAACAATGAAACAGGCAAAACAAACAAACAAACAAACAAACAAACAAACCACCTAAAAATTGTTGGGACTGCTTCTTTACTAAAATAAACCAAAGAAATATATTCATTATCATAATCAAACTCAAGTATACTATCAAAGTACATATGAATCTGCAGAACCAACAATAAAGCAGTCATAAAAAAAACCCACACACAGATAGTCCTGGACTCATAACCTTATCAGCATCCTTAATAATGCCTGCCTGTACATCTCTTCCTCTCCCTTAAAGAGCAAACACTGCCTGACCTGTCAGCTGACATGTGCCGTGATCTTTACCTGCTCTCCTCTTTGTTGCATAAAGTAACAATCCTATTTAAAAATGTGACGTGAACCGTTATTTACGGCCAGGTTTAAATTCAGATAATATTTTATGGGCACAGCTTCATAAAACTGTCTAAGCACACTGCAGATTATTATTATGAGGATTATATCGCTCATTTCATGGCCATATGGTGATACAGACATATGTTTCGGCTCAGATTAGCTCTCTCTTGATCTGTTTTACTATCTAAGAAGACACATGGGAAGAGCTACTGGATGTTGTCTTTGGTTCATATAGGGTATCACAATATAGGCCTATATGTAGCCTATGATAAGTATGGAGGAAAGCTGTATATTTTTATGATTTAATCTCTGTATTGATGCATTGTGCTGCCTGCTGCTAATATAGGCTAATAGAGATGTTGCATAGGGCAAAGTGCTATGCTACTGTATCTGAGTCCTTCCTGTCTTAACCTTTCTTCTGTACTCAGTCATATTCTTCACCATTTTTGCTGTCTTGATGAAGATTTCTGAAGCTCATCACATTTCTTTCCATGTTTCTGTAAGTAGGCCTAATCTCACTTTGCTTTCTCCCCAATAGGTGACAGCTACGTATGCAGCTCCATCGAAGCTTACAAAAAGTTGGATTACACAAAAAACGTGAACCCCAACTGGTCGGTGAACGTCAAGGCCTCAGCTGCATCCTCTCGCGGGCCTCCCTCCCTGGGCAGCGCCAAGGCCAGTGCCCCCGAGAGCCGCGAAACCAAGGACTTCATACGTCCGAAGCTTGTGACGGTGGTGCGGAGTGGAGTGAAGCCCCGCAAAGCTGTGAGGATCCTGCTGAACAAGAAGACGGCCCATTCCTAAGAACAAGTCCTGACCGACATCACCGATGCCATCAAGCTTGACTCGGGGGTGGTGAAGAAGATCTACACGCTGGAGGGCAAACTGGTGAGAAATCTTTGGTCAAAGCATTGTTAGAGTTGTGGAGGGCAACGCTAATACTTTTTGTTGTATCATGTCTCTGGCTGGTATTGCTGATTGTTCATCTTCATTCAAGGTAGCAATGTTTCTAAGTGTCTCTAAAGCTTCCTGTCTGAATGAGGTCTCTGGTGATACAATCAGTTGGAGCTGATGTTTTGTTGCAAGTGTCACACATGATGAGTGGTTCCATTGTGGGAAACAGGCCGACACTGAGATAAGAGAGAGTTTTTGTATCGCTGTTTTGGATATGGTTTCATGTGACTAACAGCCATTCTTCTTTCATGAGGGTGGCGGTGTCGCTTGAAGAGGGGAAGTAGAGATCAACAGGCTGATAGGAGAATCAAAATGGCTAAATATTTCATGACCGTGCTCCATGAGGCATTTATGAATGAAGACATGTTTGTGTCCCTGTTCGCAGCCCGAGCTGTGGTGAAAACGACTGACACAGAGACCGAAAAGGGGTTGAGAGAAGGTAGAGATGAAAGAAATCTATGAATGGAGTCTGGGTTCTCACCCACGCTACGGTGATGTGTGCCAGAGCTTTGCCTCCGAACATAGAGATAAATCAGAGTCACGGCCCCTTGAAGGTCCACCCACCTATTCTGCTCCCTCTCTCAGCTGTGGAGGGAGACGCTATAAAAAGAACAGCACACTACTGTACACGCACATACATATGCACAAATCCATATTCTCCACTACAGCACTAAAATGGATGTGGAAATGGCTTTGAACTTGGCCTGCGCTGCAGTTGAATGAGGTCAAACACACACTCTGTGCTGGCGCATGTCCATGTTTGTGTGCATTTGTCAAAGAGGGGAAGACACGGAGAGGAAGGCGGCGTCTCTGCCAGCATGTCAGGGTTTCAGGTTATATTTGTGACACGCTGTAGCTCTCTTGTCTCTTCCTGTTTGCCTTCATGTCACCTCTTCATCTCTCATGCCATCCCCCATCATCATTCTTCTATCGGTCTGTCTGTCTGCTCCACTCTCTCTGCCTCTCACTAGGTCACATTGTAGCTCCAAGTTATTGAATGTAGCGACACAGAACCACTTCTCCCTTGGCAGCAGCATCAGAACGACGCCATTATTTTGAAACAGATTGCGTTTGACGTCGAGGGCGTCCTGCCATTTTGTGTCGCACAGTGGTAATCATCTCCTAAATGGCCAATTTGTGACTCATCCTCATGAATATGCTCTTTGCCCCATGAGCTTTCCATTCTTAATTGCCGTCTTAGTACTCTGCGTTAGCATTTATCCCACTCCTAAACATTAATCTGTATGTGCTGGCACCGGCATGTCGTCCTGCCTCAGAAGCCATGCAGTCTATTTAATCATCCACTGTTAACCCATTAGGAAGTCATTCCAGATTTCCTGACCTGACCTGCTGTCAGATCCCCAGCACCAGCCAATAAAATCCCAGGATCAGGTTTTTCCTTGAGAAACCTCCTGTTGGGGATTAAACTCACGCTTTTGCACAATGCCCACTAACTCTGTGGTCGCCATTGGTTACGATTATCTTGGAGATTACACAATAAATGCTGCTCTCGGCCAGTTCACCCCTCTGCGATTGGAAGTAAGACTATTATGGTTTTGCTATTTTTAGACATGGTATTGATTGGGCCTGTAGGCATGGTAACACGCTCACTGCCAAATTGGCTGGGTTGGGCTGAGTGCACATCCAACTGCTTTTCTGTTTTTTTTGTTTATACGTGCGTGGGTTAATGCGTGTGGGAGAGTTTGCGATTATGTTATTATGAAAACAGAAACGTGGAAAATGAGGGACTCGAAAGAAAGATGGGAATTAATGATGAAGATCAGATTTGAAAGCAGTTAGTAAGTACTGCCCATGTGTGTTTCGTGCATGAGAGGAAATCCTGACAAGACCTGAACAGCCTGCTGTTTCTGAAAAGGTGAAAGGTCTCTACAAACACTACATAAGCTTGTAGCAAATATAAACCCCCTATGAAATGTGGGTAATCCATGTTAACTTGAGCATTAAAGTGAAAGAATCAGGCTTAGTATAAGAGAGCACAAACCCTGATACCACCTCAGTTACATAAACTGTGTCTAGATATTCATCTGAATGAAAAAATCCTAACAATAAGACATGTACAAGAGGCAGGAGGGATGAATAGAGAGACAACTATATGTTAATGACACTTGAATATACCTATTGGATATCAAGAATGCGCTAAAGGTAATTACCTGAGTGTGTACCAGGGTAAGGTTACTTTAAGGGTTAAGTAGAGTATGTGTGTGTCTTTGTGTGCACTGGTGCATGTGTGTGTGCGTACATGGTTTTATGTGTGTGGGCTGCTGCCGTCAGCTGAGCTGTGTCAGTCATTGAGCCTACGGCAGAAGTAGGTTTCTGGGCCTGGCTGCTAGTTACGTTGGGTCCCAGCAGAGTCACAGGGCCTATAGAGAGTGAGCATCTGAGCACCGGAGCTCAGCCTCCTTGCTTTCATTAACCCCCCTAATGAGGTCAGAGACAGTGGGCCACAATGTATATGTACATTCACAAAACCCTATTCTTCTTCTCTTTCTCAAGGATAGCAACAGCCTGCCAAACATGGATTATTTTAACATAATATCTTTTAAACTAAAAATAAATAAATCACAAGTTAGAGTTAAAATACTGCAGCCAAGTGTGCTGAAATGAATAATGCATTATGTTTTTGGTATTTGAAGTCTGGCTAAGAGTTCAACTGAGAGTGTTTTCAGCTGCGGTTGCTGCTATCAGTCCTCTTATTATTCCTCTTTACTTACTGTATGTGTGTGTATATGTGTATACTGTATATCTACATGAGTGTACATTGTACTATTGTCACAAAGATAACTGTGTTTCAGTTTCGGTACCTTGCTTTGAGGGGTACATTTCTGCCAAACCTTTTTGCTTTTCTTAACAAAGCGACCCAAACTTCTCAAATATTAAATGCTGTCTAATCACAAGCAGCCATACAAGAACTTTACCCAAATTAAATACAGAATACAACTGGCAAAATTTTATATTACACATATGGAAATTAGTAGTGCTGTCTCAAATGCTTTGAAGCTTCTACCTTTGCCATGGTAATTGATGTCCAAATCAGTATTCAAATGCTGCGTATCTTGTTTGTTTCTTTGAATTATATGTACATTACCCAAAAAATCCTAGAAGTTCTAATCACTTCTGAGACTCATAATTATAATAATAGCAAAGTGTATATATAATGACCACTAGTTTGAGTAAAGTAAAGCTTTGTCATATCCCCTCGGTGAAGCTTTGAATATTCGTAGGCAACTGACCCATCACTAAGTCCCGTCCCTGGATGCAAACTGGCCAATCATAATGTCAGATTTCCTTCATTTTCAGGCTGGTTTTGTGGATTTCAAGCTGTTGTCGTGTAATAATGATACTCGTTACCTGGAGAGGTTGGAAAAAGATATACGTTTCTTCCCTGTTCCAAAACCAAAATCAAACCCTGAAAAGTGTAGGGTTAGCTAGCTAGCTACTGAAGATATAGCCTACTGAATGTATACACATGCTGCTTTTGCTTTGTAATGATTATAACAGTGAAAAAAAGGCAGACCCTGCTGTACAGGAACCAGTGAAGGGAAGCAGGGAAACTTTGCAGATATTCAACCAGCTGTGTGTCATCGCAGTGTGCACAGATGAACAATTTTTGACTTCCCCCTGAGATCCCTGCCCGTTTGGCGGCAGAGATCTGGGTGCTGGCAGCAGCAAGGGGGCAAAGCCAAACGCTGTTCATCTGCACACACTGCGATGCCACACAGCTGGTTCAATATCGGCAAAATTTCCCTTTATATTCTTTGTCTTCTGTGGAGATCAGCAGTGATGTGGTGGTTCACTTTTACACTGTGATCTGTAGCTTATAGTTCAGCTTTAGCTTCTAACTATCTTTGTCTTTTTAACCTGTTGTTGCTGCTGAGTCAGTTTGACATCCTAGATATATCCTTCAAACACAGACTGTAGACCCCTCTGTCTGCTTCTCTCTAGAATCACTGTTTAATTTTTCCAAAAATATGATAATATTTCTTAAGGGAGTGCAGTTAGTTACAGTGTGGGCTCCATGCTTTCTCTGACAGCTTGTTGGACCATCACATAGGGGCGGGGCTTAGCGAAAGGTCAGTTCTCACTGAAGATTTGAAGCCACAAAAATGGCATTCAGGACAGCCCTAGAATTTGTACTCCAAGTCATATCAGGCATTGTACGATACCTTTTGGCACTTGATCGTTGCTATAAGCAAATTTCAGTCAGAACCGAACAATCCCCGGTGTATTCCCCCGCATGTTTGCTATAAAAAGACTTTGTTGTTTGTTAGAATTTCCTATTTGGCAGCATTCTGCGAGAACTGATAATGATAACGAGATGGGGATAGAGAGGAGACGACATATGACAGGCTGTGAACGAGTCTCTTTGAGCATCTGATATGTGGCACATACTCGTCTGCCTACTTAGCCCACTGAGATCTTACTATACTGTGATCATTTTGGATATCGTATTTCTGTCTGTAACATGAACGGCTGAGTGAGAAAGAATATATCAAGTTCTACCCCCACTGCCATATTGATTCTCTCACTGTCTCAGGTCTCACAGATAGGTGGTATTTTTAGCTCCGTCCCCTCTCCTTTGGGGTTGCCACAACTTCATATTTCTCTGCAAGCTCTTCACCTTGGCCGGTTTCTATGATGATTTGATCTAGTTGCCTAGAAACCGTCCAACCTGCTGTGATGTCATACAGTAGCACGGTGTGATGGTGCGGCTGGATTGGTCTGATGAAGAAGATAGACGACCCGTAAGTGGCTTAGAGCACGGACATGGCTGGCCTATTAATACATGTAAGCTCTGTTTACACACACAGACACAGACACGCACACACAGACACTATGTTGAACCCCAGCTGCCAGCCTTGAGCCTTTCGAGGCTCACGCACACTTAGGCACGGATAGTGACACACACTCTTTTT